GGGAATTGGCCCTGGAGCGCTGCGGGGGTGGGGGGACAGCGGCCGTGCTGGGGTGGCTGTGCTCGGGCGCGGGGCACGGATGCCTTCGGGTGTAAGCACAAGAGAGGTGGCGGCGCACGGGGACCCCGGCGGGAGGGCAAGAAGGACAATCAGGGCTGGCAGAGTCCGGCCCGCACCCCCCCTGCCGAGCACCGCTGCTATTTTCAAGAGTTATTTTTCCATATGGTGTTGAAACGCAACTCGGCGCTGCCCGGAGGCTCCGCGGAAAGAGAAGTCTATATTGTAGAAGGGTTTATTTTGCCGGGAACACGTCCGGGGCAGGGCCATTGAGGGAGCTGCCTGCTCCTGGCCTAGTGGCCGTGATTTACCCCTGGGCACGCGGGAGCATCGCTGCTTTGTACCGTGGTCACTCGAGGGGAAGGAATGTTAAAAAAATCGCCTCCGGCCCGGGATGCCCGGGGCTGGCACCTGCGGGGCAGCCACGGGAGAGGTGGCTGAGAGCAGCCTTTGCTCTGAGGGAGATGCAAGAAAATCCCTCCCAAAGAGGGGAAAGGGAATTTCGTCAGCCGCAGAAGCACCCGCGGGGTGGGAAGGGGAGGCGATCGGGCCGTGAGATGCTCCTGGCACGGGTCCCCCTCCTGCTTTGGTGCCGCGGCTCTGATGGTACCGAAGGGTGAGTGCAGGCGGCCAGGAAGGATCGCGGTGGCTTTGGCACATCCCACAAGGCCCATGGGGTCTGCTCCTGGCCAGGCTCACTCAGCACTAGCCCTTGCTCAAAACCCACTTGCCCATCTCCCCCAGCACAGCCACACCCCTACCCTCAGACATTCAGCCCCATGGATGAGATCCAGCTCCACACTCTCTGCCCGGGGTGCCCAGCTCTGCCCCAGCCCCACAGGGAAGCCCTGGCTGTCCCTGCCATCCTCTCTGTCTCTGGGGTGATGCTGATCCTTCAGGGAGGGCTGAGGGTGGATCCAGTTAGTCAGCTCCTTCCAGAGGTGTGGAAGCTCCAGAAGCAGAGATAAAAAAAAAAAAGAATAAAAATGAAAAAAAAAAAAAAAGCCACACGAGAAAGCACATCACTGGTCTGTCCTTGTCCTTCCTTGCCCCCCCTGCCCCCCAGCTGGGTGCCTTGGTGCTGCAGGAGCTGCCCCAGCTGCATCCATGTGCCTCCCCCCTCCCCAGCCTTGGGTGCTGCTTTGTGCCAAGCTGCTGGCCTTGCCGGTGCTGGTGGGGAGGGGGACGGGGGAGAGCTGTGCCTGCTGCTCTCCATCCCCCCTCGACAAGGCCAAACGCCTCCTCCCCTCGCTGTGTAAATTTTGTACAGTTCCAGAAAGTGAGAGTCTTGTTTCCTGGGGGAATAAAAAGGAAAACAAAATAAAACCCAACAAATAATAATAATAATAATAATGATAATAATAATAAATTTTAAAGAATTATTTATTGCCATGTCTCGGGGAGAAATGATCTCCCCAAATTGCCCCCGGATTCGGGCTTAGGGCGTTGCTTTTGTACCCTGCCTCTGGTGTGTTGGCATGAGATGTGTACAGTCACCCCCTCCGCTGCGAGGGAAAGCGATGGCAAATAAACTCGGGATGCTCTTTAGCAGCTGCTGTCTTTGAGATTTTCTTCCTCACTGGGAGGGCAGTGGGTCACCACTGGCTCTGGCACCGCTGGCTTTTTGGGGTCAGGATTCCCTGGATGGTGGAACTGCCATCCCTGGCTGATGGAACAAGTGCCACCGGTCGTGGTTCCCTGGCCTCCTGCTGGCACCCAGGGGTTTAGGGTGGGGATGTCTGTGGCTGGCACCCCGAGGTGGCACAGCTTTCCTGCCACCACGCAGGGACAGCCTGGCTGTGCCACCACAGGTGAGATGGAAGGGCCATGCCAGGCAGGAGAGGCGAGTCCAAGCCCCTCTGTGGGCACCGGTGTGTTGGCTTTCTGTATTTTAATCATTTTAACATTTAATGCTTCTCAATTAAAGTGATTTCCTGGAGTAGATGCCAAGCTTAGGGCGAATGCACATTAACCACTTTCTGTATCAGTAGTTAAAGGCACCGAGGGATTTAACAGCAATCCGCAAGGCTGCTGGGGAAAGGTTTGGCTGAATAAAGCAGATTATAAACAATAATATATGTCTTTCTCTCCTCCCGCCCCCCACCCCCGCTTTCTTTTTTATTTTGGAAAGGCTCCAACCTCACAAACAGACCTAAAGTGCTATAAACATCTCAGGGCTGAGCGCTCAGGCCCCAAATGTGCTCTCTGAAAGCACCGGCACCGCGGCTGCTGCTTTTCATCCCGGCTTTAACGGAGATTTTTTTATTACCCAGCGTGTCCATCAAGCCAGGCAGTGGCTGTGCATTACAGCCCTGCACAGGGGTGGCCTTGCTTGTCCCCAACCTTGGTGCCACCGTGTCTCCCTCACAAAGTCGACTGCAATATTGGGGTTGGCATCTTTGCTTCATCTGAATCCAGATGTAAAAGCGCCAGGCTGTGATGAGCCTGGCCACTGCCAGCCTGCAGCTGCCCTGGGCAGGAGCTGGGGGAGCAGAAGCCATTGGGGGAGTCTTACTTAATATTAAGTTAATGGAAAATAACCTGTCCAAGCTGTTTTGTCCCCAGCACAGAGCCTGGCCTGTGCTGTGTGTGGTTTAGTGGCTGCTGGAGCCAGCGCAGTGACTTTGTCAGCGTCAGCGAACGCTGGCAGGAGCCACAGACGCTGTGAGGGGCCAAAACCCACGTGTGCCTGCTGCCCAGCCAGTTAGCCAAGGGAATGTTCCCATTTATTCTCCTGAGGCTGGATGTGCTGCAGAACCTGATGGCAAGCAGCTTCCTGTCACAGCCACGGAGATTTCCTCTGCTCCCCCCAGGCTGTAAATCTCATCTGGGAAAAGCAAACTCGTGGCAATATCCTGCAGGGCAGCCACAGTCTCCTCTGGCCACCCAGTGCAGCAGCCTCCCTCGCAGCTTGGAGCTATCCCACGGCACAACCCCACCCCTGGCAGCTCCCGTGGGCACAGCTGGGATGCTGAAAAGGAAACACTAAACCCCCATGATCATCCCACATCACTCCAGCACCGGGGCATGGTCACGAGGCACATTTTTCCCCCCTTTCTGGGTACCTGGCCAGCTGAGAAGATCATGAAGTGTGTGAGCCAGACCCAGAGGGGTGACAGGGTGGGTGCAGGTTTATCTGTGCTCAGCTGAGCCCTGAAGGAGCCGCTCCAGGGATGGACACACAGCGGGAGGCCCTGGAGCCGCTGACAGAGGTGGGGTTTAAAGCCATTTAATTCAGCAAAGAGGTAAAAGTCCTGTCAGCCTGGAGAGGCTGATTAGCAGCACGTATTGTGTGAGAAGCAGAGGGACAGACAGACATACACCTGTATGACCCTGCTGTCTTTGCAGCTCTCCCTCCCCAGGACAAGAGCTCAAGCAGAACTTCCCAAGCCTTATGGCTGCACTGAGCTGCCTTCCATTCTCATGGCTTCCAAATCACCCCCTGCAAAAAAACCCCCAAAACTCAAACAAACACACCGAGCCTCAATCCCAACACTGTGCTTTTATTTATATTATTTGTTTGGACCCAGGGGGGGGAAAAAAAAAACAAACCCCAACCAAAATTCAACCTGAATGGGAGAGATGAGCATCTCACCTGGCCCTGCATCCCCATGGAGGAGCCGACTGGTCAGCCCACGCTGCTCTGGTGAGACAGCCCATACAGTACTCGTGTTTGAAACCTTAAAATAATACCTGGGGCCTCTTCCAGGCCCTCTCCCCTCTCCCCCTCCCCCCCAAATACTGATAAACGTCAGAGCATGCCAAACTCTGATGCCATCCTGCTCAGGGCATGCGCTTGGCCCTCGCGCGGGAGAGCCCAACCAGACCCTGTGCTTTAAAAGGTCCCCTCGAAGCCCCGGGGTGTTTGGGGAGGGCAGCAGGGAGGGGAGGGGGATAGAGGTGTTATTGCAGAGCCTCTCTGTGCCGCGGGGGCTCAGGGCTCGCCGGTGCCATGCTGCTGCAGAGCAGAAGTGATGGCTTTGGAGTCCGTCACCTCCTCGGGCAGGCAGCCCTCCTGGTCCCGCAGCCTGGGGTCGGCTCCCGACTGCAGCAGCAGCTCCACGATGTCCAAAAACTCGCAGGTGGCAGCTGTGGGGGAGAAAGGGAAGGGTTAGTGTGGCAATGCTGGCCCCAGGAGGCGGTGACGGGAGGTTTTGGAGCGGTGGCTGTTGCTGGCCCGGGGCAGCAAACGCCGGCTCAGCTGCTGGCCCGGCAGAGCATCGCTGGGACAGCGCTCGGGACACACCAGATCGCTTTGGATTTAATAGTGCCAAGCAAGGAGAAAAGACAGAGTGACAGCAATGCAAAGCCAGAAGTCCTGAGGGGGTGCCACTGGTGCAACCAGAGCCCACAGCCCAGTGGATCTGCAGGGACACAGAGGGACCTGGGACCTGGGAACAGCTTGGCTGAGGTTTCTTCACGTCCAGGACTGGAGATTGACCCTGGGAAGGGTCCCAGAGTGTTACTGCAGCACTGCAGGGACTCCCAAAATGCCACCTGGGAAAGCATTCCCTGCCTGCTTTTGTACCTGGGGTTTATAATATGTTCACCATCTCTGATGGATCTGTGAGCCTTTGCCCCTCACCTGCCCCCCAAATCTTGCAGGGAGAAGGCAGCACATCCCAGGCACGACAGCTTCAGTGCTCCTGACTTTTGTCCATTGCTTCTCTTTGGACAAAATTCAGATGGTTTATAGCTGCTGGCCACCACTTCCTCCAGCACCAGCTCCAGGTGACTGTGCCCATGGCCTGGGACAGGGCACACATTTTATTCCTCACACCTCTACTAGGAACTGTTTTTTCATCCCTCATTTCCTCTGCCAAGATAGAGTCAGGTTTGACCTGAGCTCTTCTCAGTCCTAGGATGTCTTACCTAAGGATGCTAAAAAAAAGAGTCAGGAAAATCAGGAAAACTCTTAATGCTGGACTTGGCTGACAGCGGCAAAAGTCCCAGATCTTGGATTTTCCCTTCAGCCTCTGCAACTCAGACCCTAGTGAAGCCAAAACCTGCTTTACAAGGCCATGAAGCTGGCAGCTTCCTCTTGCATTGGTAGCAATTGGTTTTATTCTTTTTTTGGGTGTTTTTATAAAGCAACTGACTGACTCCTTTAGTAATTAAGTGTCTTTTGCATTACTCTGCAGTCTTCTACTGATCCAAAAGGACAAGCAGTAATGTCTCATTAAAATAAATTCAGTGTGTGATTGGAGTTTATATTGAAAAGATAAAAAAGGGGTCAAAAAGGGGAAACAGGTTGGTGAGGAAGCAGGTGGGGGTGTGGGTGAGGCTGAGCTGAAGGGGGGCACATCCCTCTGCAGAAAATAGACTTCCAGAGTTGCCAAAGAGGGTATGGTGGCAGCTTCTAGTGATGGGGAGCTGGTCCCCACAGGGAAAGGTGGCTTACTCCTCCGGTGCTGTGTCCTTGAGCAGGCTGGGGACATCCCTGGGGACGAGCACAGCTGCTGGATTTATCACAGCCTGGGACCCTCGATTTGTCAAGGGCCAGAGCGGCAGCCCTGACACTGGCACGGGTGAAGATGAATTTCCATTCAGCGCAGTTTGCCTCCCGACTCCATTAATCCTCAGGGTTCAGATGATGAATTTTTTTTTATTATTTATTTTCCTTGCAGCATCTCCTCCCACTGCCCTGGCAGGGCGCAGACAGAGCCGAACAGATGGTGCTTTGCAGGGAAGCTGGAGCGCCCAGGAGGATACAGAACCTGCTCACTCCGCGGCCACGTGGCCGGCACAGCTCGGTGAAGCCTTGATTTCCTCTGGGAGAGGCAGCAGCGATGATTTCAGTATTCCCAGTGGGTGGGTGGATGGAGAGGAGCTAAGAAGGGGCTGTTCAGCAGGGACACTGTGCACACAGCCGTGGGTCCTGGCAGGCCGTGCTGCCGCTGGCCTCCACTTAACCCCCGATTAAAGCTGGGGTCAGTGGCGATCGGAAGGAGCCGGGATTTATAACCCCCAGCAGGATGTGGTTTGACACTGGCTGTAATCAGGAGAGCTGTCACCACAAGGACAGCTGTCAGGCCATGCTGGCTCATAAAAAGGGATGCAGACACCCTAAAAAGCAGGGGCTGCCCTGCTGATGGGATTTAACCCTTCCCTGAACTCCATGAAACTGTTCATAGGCGCTGTCCCGCCTCTCTGCTGCAATTAACGACTCGGTGGTGAAGTGCTGACTGAAATGGGACTGGGAAGTGACAGTGAGCTCCAGTTTTAGGCCAACAGCCACTTGAATCAATCCCAGGCACCCATTTGAGAAGCTGCTTCCAAGCTCGGGGTGATTTATGGACAGATCAGCAAGAAAGGGAATGAGGATGTCCTGGGGGCAGTGATGTGCCCCAGGAACAGCTGGGCACCCATGGGAACACCAAGCCCATGTGCCAGTGACTCAGAGAGGATTCCTAAAGAGGATAAACAGGGAGTAGAGAGGGGATAATATTCAGGGGGAAGAAAAAGTTTCAACACTTAAACTTTTGGGAAGAAAATTCTGGGAAACTGTCATTATTGAAACATCTGAACTGGCAGGGTGGATCAGAGAAACCACTTCTGAAATAATGTTCATTGTATCAGTTATGTTTGCTTGTGTTGAACAACATGCCTCAGTCCCCAGCCAGAGGGATCCACCTGCATGGAAATTAAACTCAGGTTTAATCCACCTTCTCCTTTCACATAATTTTCCTTTCACATACCGGGCTTGCTTGAAGCAAGTGCTCTTGGATAACTTACACGTGTGCTAAGCTTTGGCACAACCTATTATAATCTACTGTGCACCTCTCAGTCCTGGAGTTGGGAAAGCATCTTCCCAGGAGAGAGAAAACCCAAGCTGTGGAATGGCTAAGGAAGAGAAAGAGGCAATGTGACATTTTAAGTGCTGTCCATCTGCAGACAAAGCTGTGCTAAGCAACAGATTCACCATTCCAGTCACAGTGATAGGAATTTGAAAAATTGAGAATCCTACAGGAAAGGTCCCACAGGGAGAAATGAAATAACACATTTTAGTATCTACAGTCTCGGTTCAGGGGCCCTGGAATCTGGGAGATCAGCTCCAGGTCCAAATGCTGTGCTTTGGACTGATGTCTGCAAAGCAATTTTGCCATCCTGCTAATGTCCTTGTGGAGAGATCAAGAAGAGAGAGAAAGACACAAACACTTCAGAATGACAAGTATGCTCTTAATTACAGTGACAGGCATCAAGAGAGAGTACAAGATAATAACTGGCTATGTCTTAATTTTGGGAAAAAGATTATGATCCAGATTAAATTGATACTTTTTTTTCCTATTCCCTGCACATCAGCACCGCACACGTCACTTCAGTCTCTTACTTTTCTCATTTGGAGATAGAACAATCTTTCAATTAAATCACGTATCTAATTAGCCTGTAATTGTAGGAGGGACACCAACTGTGACTTGCCTCTGCTGATTTTGGTAGTAGAGAAGCTGCTGCTCTCTCAGCTGTGATCAAACCAGGACACATGAAGGTGGAGGCCACTTTGTTTGTTCCCTTCCCCTGACCTGTTCAAACGGGCACAGACCCTCCCTGAAGGCCAAGGGATTCGGCATCCCCTATCCAGGGTCTGCAGGTGGCACACCAACATCCTGGAGGCACAGAGGTGTACAGGGGAACTCTGCATTATTAACTGGGGGAAAAGGAAGGGCTTTAAGGTGACATTTGCAGAGGAGAACGACGGGAGGGCAGCAAGCTTCTCCCAAGGCTCCTACCCCTGCCATGCTGGGATTTGCTAGTGGAGGGAACCACTGGTTAATCAAATCCAGTTTCCTTGCTCATTTTTCTCCTGAAATTTGCTTTCTGTGTATAGAACATTTACCCCAGCTGCAAATCCATGCTGCTAAGGAGGAACAGCCAAGCTTAGAAGCAACTTACCATAATGGAGTGCAGTCTGGCCTTCCCCATCCTGAAAAAGAGAGAGACTTGATTTTAGAGGTATAGGTAACATCGTGGCAATACAAAGAAATCCCAGTTTTAAATAAATAGGAATGAATCACAGCAATGACTTAATTGACTAGACAAACAGCCAGGACACCCAGCTACCTGACAGCTGGCATTTGAATCATCATCCACCATGACTCCCTATTGATGGATAATCAATATCTATCCACCCGTGAGAGTGCGTGGATCACGTCATGACGTGAGTATAATTCAGTTCACACCGTTATCACTTCCAGCACATAAAAATGAAGGATTTCAGTCCTATGGCCTCACTCTGGGAGTCTCACTACTCCTGATACTTTAGTGCAAGATGTTTCAGTGCAAACCCAGCTTTGGCCAACTACTTGAGAGAAGGGTAAAGCACTGGGATGCTCACACAGCTCAGTGCACTGTGCTCTTCAGCACAAGGGAGCACACAGGGAAAAAAAACTCAGTACCTTCCAACTAAATACATCTTAGGTCCTTGCCTTCAGAATTTAGGTCTACCCCAATAGCCAGGTTAAGCTCTGTCAAGTCAGGAAAGGGCTCAGGGATGAGAGCAAGTTGCCAAACTCATCCTTGTGAAACACCTGCAGTGCAAGGGCAAAGCAAACTGTGTGATTTGTAGGTGCTGGCACACAGCTCCCTGTTCCAGCTAACACTTAACACAAAGCATCAGCTGCAATGCTTTGGGAAGTGTGTCCCCATCCCAGATTCCTGTGTCCCCTCCCCAGGGCTCTGCCACAGTTGATGCCTCACATCCAGCACTGCAAACCCAGGCACCTCACCCTGCCACCAGAACAGGTGAAATAACAGCAGGAAAGAATTACTGGCCCCTTTGCTTTCACTAACCCAACCAGGATTAGCCTCTAATTCAGTTCTTTGCCTCCTTAATTTATTTGTATCTGTCTATGGAGACTTAAGATTTAATTACTATCATCTTTGTGATTAAGGTGTAAATTCTACAGTTTGCCATAGATTCTGGAGCAGGTGAAAAAGAACAGGAGAACAGGTAGAAATTCCACTCATAGCTGGAAGTCTCCTTATATCTGTTTGATATTAAGCCTGCGGGCTGAGGAATTAGGAATGACCTGTGTTTTGGGGTGGGAGATGCCATACTTTGCTCTGGGACACTGCACCAACACGACAACCACGGCAGCAGAAGGGAAAAAAAGCCAGATGTAACAGGCCTAAATATCCACTTCATATCTTTTCCAAGCAAAGAGGTGGGAGGGTCAGATTTTTCTTTCCAAGTGTCACTACGTTGTTTGAAGACACCTTGTTTCAGGAGCCTATTTCTGCCCAGACTGAGGGGAGTGGAATGCAAATTGGTGTCTTTAGGTGGTACCACAAACCAAAGAACTGAGGGAATCATGGACAGCATCCATTGATTATTCCACACTAATAAGGTAACCAATGTGAGCCAGTGCCCCTGAGCTCTCCTTAAGCACATGCCTGCTCTGAGGAGTGACAGGGCCAGCACTGACTTCAGCAAAATACAGAGCAGGGCAGGGGAAGGAGAGGTGGGAGTGCTCTGAATGAGTTATTGGAAAGGCAGGATGTCAAATGTGTGGGCTGGGGGATGGGAATCCAGCTCCCCTCTGCATCACCACCTCCAAGACTGCAGCCAACAAAACCCACAGGTGAATGGGACTGGAGCTGTGCAGCAGAAACCCCTTCCCACGGGAATGCTTTGCTGCAGAACTCCCTATTAAAACACAGAGGACTGCTCCAGGAATCCTACAGACATTTGTTCCTCTTCCAAAGGCCTGCAGAAAGCACTGCTGTTTCAGCAGCTGGCTGGGGATAACAAGGTTTTTTATTTCTCTTAGATGTACTTCCTGGCATCTGCTGGGCTAAGGAGGGAGCACAGGTCCTGGCATAGGAAATGCCTCTCTTTAATCCCAGTGTGGTTTTTAAAAAGAACTATTAATCCAATGTTATGCAAACATGGTTTGCACTTTATTTACGCTGCGGATTTTCCCCCTGCTTTGAGCCTGCCCAATGGTCAAATGCTATTTGTTACACTTCTCAGATGCCGTGCTGTTTGCTTCTATTTTCCTCTGTGACAAATTTTAATCCAGGTAAATGGAAAAAGCTCCAGTGTGGTCACTCACTAAAGGCCTTGAAAGCCCTCGGGAAGCTGCTGATCTCAATCCCTCTTTGATTTGGCTTTTTGGAGCACCATGGCTAATTGCAGCCTGATGTACCCGGCTGCTCCAGGTACAGCAACGCTGAGCTTTGGAGCAAAATGGTCACACCTGGAGACTAATCAAGAATGGGCTGTGAAAGTCAGGATTACAGCTCCCTTTGTGGGAATTATGTGAAACAAATATTGCCTGCCAGGCACTGGAAATGTCTGTTTTGTAATCAAATACTTTGTACAGATGAGTGAAGATGAATTGTAGCTGGCCTTGATGCAAGGGATATTTCCTGACGTGCAACAGAAAGCAGCGGCCTCTTGAGCATCTTAGGGTCCTTCTCCTGAGCTGTCTCTGTGTAGGGATGAATGATCCCAAACAATAAATGGTCAGGTACAAGCCTCTGTCCTCAGCCCACTGGCACCAGCCAGGAACAGAGCATCCTCTGCAGCTGGGAGGAACACAGAGATGCTGGCAGTGATCAGATGGATCCTCTCAGCAGATGGACCAAAGAGAAGGTGCTGAGTAAGGAAGCTGATGTGAATGGGGAAGAGGAGGTAGGCAGCTCTGGGCCAACACTGAGCCAGGATGCCTCTGAGAAGTGCCCTTTCATGCCTCTGTATCAGCTGGGAAAATGTCACTGTCACGGGTTAAAAAGAAGAAAACCTGCTCTGATTTGGTAAACTTCAACATGAAAGAGGGGAAAATCCAGGTTGAGAGCAGCAACACACCTTCTGTAAAGGCTTACAAGGCACTGGTAGGCCCTTGTTCCAGAGCCCTTTCAGCAATTCTCCATCTGTAAAAAGGAGGAACTCATGGAAACGGCAGAACCCACACAGGCAGACAGAAAGTGACCAGGAAGGAAAGAAAGACCACGACACACTCAAATGTAAGAATGCTCAGTCCCAGACATGTTACTGACCAACAACAGATCTGATTCCAAGATTTCCTCTTGCCTCCTAATGCCATTGTGCCATCCCTGGTGGCTTCTCCAGCCTCCTGGCACATCTGGCCATGTCAGGGTGACAGCTGAGCTGGGAGATGAAAACCCAAATGTCCATGTCTACCAAACCCATCTAAACAAAGATGCTACAAAATCACTGGTACTTCCTACATGCATGGTCTGTGACAGATGTCACTCAATGAAAATCCAACTACCAGTGGATAACTTATTGGATAACAGGATTTCGTTCTGCTCCTGAGAAATTTAAGCAAGAGAAATGGGAGAAGATGGACCGAGCACAGATGGACCAACTGTTTTATCTGCTAAGTGCTGCTATGGCTGCTGCACGTGAATTCTGTTTTAGAAGTGATAGGATTATATCGGTGTTGCCATCCCATGTTCATTCCTTGGCAATTCCTGTTCCCTGCTTAACCTCACACAAGTTCTGGACTGAAGGGCAGAGACAAGGAAATGGCTTGGCTAAAGCTGCTGAGATGCTGTGCACTCTGTAACACGATTGCTGCTGCTTTGCCATTTCAAGTAGACTTTGACTGGCCAGTGTCTGACCGTGGTTTCATGGGAGAGTTTTAAAACCAGGGCTGTATAAACACTGAGAGCTCAGAGCTGCTTCATTCGCTCTCCAGGCTGTGTGCAGTGGTGGGGTGGCCTGGAGGGAGACACAGCCTCTTCCTCCATCTCCCCTGTTTTGTTTAGCACCAGTGAAGGAAAGAGGAAAAACAAATCCATGCTGGTTACCTGGGTGAGCTTTGGTCCAGCCTGACCCTGTATTGGTGATGAAGCTGGGGCTGGATCCTCCACACCAGCACAAGGGTCTGTAGGGGACCCCACACCTCCTTGAGTGCTGCTCCACACTGAGACCTCACCTTGATGCTTTCAATCACCTCCCCAAGCAAAGACACAGTGGATGTGAAAAGCACAGCAGCAAAGCTCTACACTAGCCCTGCCCTTTGAGGGGTAGCATGTGTGCTCTTTATTTTCAGGTATTTTTTTTCCCCTATCACCTCTGCTTTCTGCTCATTTGTGGCACCTTTTAAGGTGCTCGGCTTGTTCCCATTGACAGACTCCAAATGCTGGCAGGGATCGCAGGAGATAAGAACGATGAGGTGATAAGAGTGTTTAACAGCACTGGGTCCTGGGCAGCACGATGGGCAAGAGGGAAGATAAATATTTACACTACATCTTTAGAAGGTGAGAGAATAAAAAGGGCTGGAATAATACAGACCCTGAACAAGCACTGGTGCTTAGGAGCTGTAATATAAATCTCTGCAGCCTCACGACACACACTCACTCAAGCCAGGGAGATGAAAAATAGCAAGAAAATACTTCCCTCCACTTTTAAAAAGGGTTTTATTTCTCATTTGTTTCTACTTTAGACTTCAACTTCCCAACAACTTACATTAACTTCATTGTCATATTATTCTCTCTGAAATTTTCTCTCCAAGAAGACAGAGGGTAAGACCACAGCTCAACACACCAGAATTTACATGCTCATACCCACCAATACTAAAACCAGGCAATGGGTTTAATATTAATATAATATAACCAGTCTGAACTCCACCAGATGATTCAGCAGGAGACATCCCCATGTGCATCCTTGGCTCCAGCTCCAAGGCAGCTCAGGCACTCCCCAAGGACCAACACCATGGGACAAAGGATAGAGAGCAACTTCTGCTAGAGGCAAAACCAAAGAGCATGCACTGGTCATGAACAGCTGTTTTTTAGGGACTGCAAATAACCCACGCTGACAAGTGCAGGGCATCCTCTTAAGTTCAGTTCCTCAATTAACTCTCACCTCCCCTGCGTGCAGGTTTGGCAGGGATCCCTTTCTCACCGAGCTCTCCCTCTCCAAGAGTTCTCAGCTCTCTCCTCTGCTCACTTCCT